TTTAAAAAATTAAAAGAAATATTATCAAACAAAGGTGGCCGTATAATAAAATATCCTTCCGTAGTATTATGATTACCAAAGTTAACCATTGTTCAAAATTCAAAAGTTTTCAAAAACTCAATTTTATGAATCCCACTCTAATACCATTTAAAAGTGCTATGATGACACTTGAAAGTTCGACATGGATGTTAAGCCCAAATGAACTAGTCCTAAGGCTAACCAAAGGGGGGGGGGGTGAATTGGTATTTTAAAAAATTATTATGTAAAAGCACAATCTTAAAGCAAAACCAAGATTCACCACATAAATCAAATTGTAAAAATTAAATGCGGAATCAATAATAAAAAACATAAAAATTTATAGTGGTTCGGTCAACTTGACCTACGTCCACTCCTCGGAGGAGTCCTCCGAGTATTGTACTAAACTCAGTGACTCTTCTTTTGCTCCCATAGTAAGGCAGAGAAGCCTATACAAACCTCTTTTCACGAACCCCAGTGAGGCAAAGAACCAAACTCCTTTTGCTTCCTCTAGAAGCAGGCAGAGAATCTAACTTCTTTTGCTTCCACCTAAAGCAAGCAGAGAATCTCAATCAAATGCTGAAGTAGACCTCTTTATAACCCCCAAGGAACTAGAGACAATGGCCGAAGAAGATGATGACAGATCCTTGCTTGGAGCAACCTTTATGAAACCCCTCACAAACTCTCCCTCATAAGATCCTATATCTCTCTCTCCTCTTTGTTCTCTTAAGTTAGAACAGTAGCAAAATATTATATCTTAGGTAGAACAAGAGGTCTTAAATAGAAGAGCTTCAGAATAGCTCTTAATTATAACAAATCTACTTTATTGTCTAGGATGATATAAATATTATCCTATATGATTATTACAAATTTAGCTCAATCAGCCAAGATGATTTAGGACGATTAGAAGATTTTTATTCATATTATTCAAGATGATAATATATCATCCAGTATGATTAGTACAAATCATTAAATATTGTCCAGAATATCTCCTTGAATAGAAGTTGGCTGATGTTTGATCGTTTAGGAACAACTAAGGTTTTTGAACTGATCGTATTGGCTGATCCTGCTATTGTCCAGGACGATATGATCGAGCAATCAAACATTAATTATTTTTCTTAATTACTAGATTAATTTAGTTATAATTGCTTTGCATCGTCCAAGATAATATTCAAAAATAAAAGCTACCTAAATAGATCTAGTGACTGATTCTTTCTTATTTGAGCATATCATCCTGGTAGATATGAATATCATCCAGGACGATGCACTTAATGATGACTGCCTTAATCAGGATGTCCTAATTAGAGCTTCTATTTTTAATTGATCGTCGAGGCCGATTTATGGATAGTCCCGGATGATGTGAGCAAAAACAAAAAAAAACTTTAAAATAGTGTGAAAAATTCCCCCAAGTGCATATGTGCAAGGTTACTTAACATCAGGGACTACATCGTTTACAATTGACTCAAGAAAAGAAAAAAGATTACAAACTGACTCAGACCTAATCTACCCATTCTTGAGCTGGTTCAAATTGAAGTTTAATCTTGTGGACCTGAAATATTTGTAGACAAGGTAGTCGTAAAAAAATATAAGTATTTGCTATCATCAAAATATTATTTCCTAAAATCAGATTCACAATAACATCTACACCATTTCTAGTATGACTCCTACCTAAATACCAGATTTTATATTCAAAACTATTAATCTCCTTAGCTTTCTCTCCAACCCATTTAATTTCTTGATACACATAATATTTATCTTTCTATGAATTATAATATCTATTAATTCCATTAAAAGGGAGCCTATATTCTAAGTTCATATTCTAATTTTAGTTTCATAAACTATTTTCTTTGCCCTCATTTATCCTTGATGTGGGAACCCTTGCCTATTTAACATTGCACCTAGGCACCGGTGCAGCAACCCTTACACACTTATTACTATATTCAGGTCATATAGCGTGTCGCCTCCAAGGGATGACCTAACATTAATATAATTTTTTAGATGATTCATGTCATGATTATTCGATAAGTTTTACGCTGGCTCTTGACTACCTATTGAATTCCTCCACTTTTCTCATCCAGGACTTGGGACCAGGCAATGACATTATTTATTATAACTTATAAAATAATTAATTTAAAATAAGTAATTTATATAATAACCTATAAAATAATTAATTTAATATTATTTATTAGATTAGTTAATTAATTAATTAAATTAGTTAATTTAACATAACAATAATCATAAATTTTTTAATTTAATTTAGTAATATTTAATTTAATTTATTAATCTATTTTAATTTGATAATAAATTATTAAAGTTTTTAAACATATTTAACAATATATAAATAACCTAATTTAAATATATTTATAGTAAGTACAAGTATAGGCTCAGGCACTACGTATGACGCTCAACAAGGTGGTGCCATAATGATATAAAATGAACTAGTGCCTCAGTGCTGTAATGCTTGCTCCGCTACGGTGTTGGCTAACCTAACTTGGTTAATGGCTGAACAGGTATATCTTTTGGCTGAGTTAGTGCTACTTTTTTTCTTAGCAACTACTCCACCGTGGCACTACAACAAATAGAGCACTAAGTAGCTTAAATGTGACTTTAAGCACAAAGGAGTTTCAAGGCTTGGTGCTCCAACATTCATTTTTTTGAGGCTCAAGTGGCAGTGCTGAATTTGGGTGCAACAATGCTATGTTACATCGCGACCTTGACCTTAGTGTCACTACAATGCTGAAAAATTGAGAAATCAGAGCTGCAATGTTTGAATTAGGCTTCTTGCCATTGACTATCAAAATGTTATGATGCTTTGTTTGATGGCGTTATGGTGCTGCTCAGCACTTATAGTTTTTTTGCCTTTACAAGTATATTTCTTGTACAAACATAGCTAAACAATACTTTTTTTACTAATTTTAAATATAATAAATAGTACAAAATTTACACTTAATAGTTATTCGATCTTTTATGTTCGATAAATTTGTAGAAGTGATGCACTCATTCAAGAGTTTACTTTAAAAATACCTCTTATAGTTATTGCAGTATCCCATATTATGGTTCCCCGTCTTAAAAATTTTATTCTCAACACATCTATTGAAATATTAAATTCAAAGTTGTCCTTAGAGAGTATTAAAAAATTTACTTGAGAATTGAATTTTGATAGAGTGTCGGAAGAAAAGAGAGAAGTAAGGCGATAAAAAATTTCTTAAAAATTTAGTTCACAAAGATCTCGATTGATTCTTTTGAGCAAAGAAGTGAGACTCAAGCCCTAGTGAAACCATTTTAAAAAATAGAAATTTCATGAAAATTTTATTGGGTCCGACAACTCCATTTAAGGGATTGGAATTTGGTGGTTCCACTCTACTTTCTTATCTATTTTTCTATCTTTTATTTTTTCCTTCTTTCAATACTATGAATATTTATTGTAATGATCAAATAAAGGCTTTTGGTGTTCCAAGAAATAAATTAGAGAAGTTATGAGTGTTTCCATCTAGTTTAATAACTTTAATATTAAGGGTTGAGTTCTACACAAATTTAAGGTGTATTGTTAGCAGCATGAACTATGTACTATAGAGAGTTTGAGAGAATTTGGGGAAGGAAAATTTTAAACTCCATTTTGTTTTAGCTTTTACTATTTTTTTGGATCCAATTTAGTCATGAATTGATTAACTAGAATTAGGAGAATATTCTTTTACAATATACTTCTCCCTAATTTTATGATTAAAAACTTTATTTTTGTACCTAAAAAAATATTAAAAACTTTATTTTAAATGTAATTAGCAAGCATAATCAGAATATTTTATGAGAAAAAAATTAGAATGTCCTAACTATATTTTTCTCAAAACGAATTTACAAAATTGACACATAATATATAACAATATATATATATATATATATATATATATATAAGAAAATAATAAAAATATTCATTATAAAATATTTAATAAAATAAGAAATATGCAAATATTTTTATTCCGTAGATGCTCGGTATTTGCTAGGTATTGCTATGTTCGCGATTTTCTCGGTATTGCTCGGTATTTGCTCGGTATTTGCTAGGTATTGCTTTGCAAAAATGAGAAATACAGCTCTGTGAAGACCAATACAATGCAAATACCGAGTTGTACCGAGTTTTTTACAACTCGGTACAACTCAGTATTTGCTCAGGATTTGCTCGGTATTGCTAGGGATTTGCTCGGTATTGCTAGGTATTTGCTCGGTATTGCTAGAAAAAACTGGGTACAACTCTGTATTGCTCAGGATTTGCTCGGTATTGCTCGGTATTGCTCGGTATTGCTAGGGATTTGCTCGGTATTGCTAGGTATTTGCTCGGTATTGCTAGAAAAAACTAGGTACAACTTGGTATTTGCTCGGTATTGATAGGTATTTGAAATATATCCAGAAGATGATGAGTTTTTGTTCGGCTCGTCAAGGATTTAAAAAAACGCACGTGCGAGAACCCAAAAAACAGCGGGTCAGGTCTGACAACCTCAGCCCATCCAATGAAGAAGAGCAAATTATTGCACCTGCTCATCGGACGTGCATAATAGATTCGGACATCCAATAAAAATATACCACGTTGGACTTTGACTGCACTTTAGATTGCGCTTTACCAACACTTTACCTATAATTTAACTGCATTTTACTTATGTTTTATCTGTTATTTTTCTATATTTTATTAATATCTGAATCTATTTGTGCTTTCGGTAAATGAATGCAATAATTTGCAGCTGCACTTTAGATTGCGCTTTATCAATACTTTACCTATGCTTTAACTATATTTTACTTACGTTTTATTTATTATTTATCAATATTTTATTAATATCTGAACCTATTTGTGCTTTCGGTAAATGAATGCAATAATTTGCAGCTGCACGTTAAATAACATAATAAAAAGAAATCTGCAGCTGTAAAACGTAGAAGGTAAATTTCGGTGCAACAAGTTAAAAAAAAAAAAAAAAAAACGTAGATAGCTGTCAGGATAAAAAAAGTACATTTTCGGAATGCGCAAGAGGGAGACGGTGAAAGCCCGAGGGAGCGCAAAACAACAATCTCGAAGAGAAAGTCGGCGATAATCTAGGATTCCGGCGGATTGGGCGACGATCGAAGGATCTTACCGTAGCAGGGATCGATTCGCGGTGAATTTAGGTTTTTTTTGCTGTTGGAGGTTGTGCGTGAGAGGAAATTGTGAGTAACTGCTTGCTGGGTGTATTTCGATCAACTGGATGCTCTCCGTGGGGCGTAGTAATGAGGGGAAGAGGAGATCAGCGTTAGGTTTGGAAGGGAGGGGAGGAGAAAAGAAAAAGGAGATGGAGGTGAACGAGCTTGAGGAAGGGGAAGCGTATTCTGGGCAGGAGGACGACATCGACCCCGATGCTCTCTCTTACATCGTAAGGAGCTTACTTATAGTCTCTTCGTTTTAGTTCATTTTCAATTAGGAACCTGGTGCTTCCCTATCGGTTCAAAATATTACACCTTTTTGCGAGGTGTAGAACGATTATGAAGGAGCTGCCCGGTTAAATTTGGGTCAGCTATCCATACTAAATCTTTACTGATGTTGGCTTCACTCTCTTTTGTACTGGATTTCTTTTATCTTTGAGTTGTATTGAATTTTCTATTGTTTGGTTGACAGTGTTATTACCTAACGCTTACTATTAAGCGAAGTGTTGGCTTTACGAATTAGAAAATCAAGGTGCAAATGAGTAGTAGCTCGGGTTTTGTTACACTCTACCTTCAAAGAGATGATGAGGGTTCAAATACTTTAAACAAAAGTGAAAAATAGACTGGAAACAGAAGTTAAGTAGTCTTCAAAAGTTGGTACTTTTGTTATATATATATTGTTGTGTTAACTGTCAATCAAGATGTAGTTTATTTTGCTGATTTGAGTTTTAGTTCCAAGCTTAAAATACAATATAAATTTTGAACCTTGGCTGTGATCGCTTGCATGTGGAAACAGGAGTTGAATTGCTGTTAAATTTGAGTAATAGTGGAGAGTTGCGAGAATGCACCTATTGTTAACTACTGTTGAAAATTCTTCCTTACTCTCCCCTGAGCTTAAAATTAATATTGCACACGTATAAAATCATTCAGAGAATTTATAGCATAAATGCATTGTTCCTTATGGCTGGTCTTAACTCCATATAGGATGAAAAACTTCAGCATGTATTGGGGCACTTCCAGAAACAGTTTGAAGGTGGTGTATCAGCAGAGAACTTGGGTAAGCCAGATTTAATGTAATGCAAACCAGAGAATTATTATTTTAATGTTGAATATTAATGTTGAGATGATGCTTTGAGAAATTAATTTCTTGATAGGAGCCAAGTTTGGGGGATATGGCTCATTTCTGCCGGCATACCAGCGTTCTCCTCCAATTTTGTTGTCGCAACCTAAGAGCCCAGCTAAGGTGCCAGGCCAAGGCATGTTGAGCTCACCGTATTATTTGCAACCTGAGGTGAGTTTGATCGCCATCTTTCCTTCCTTTTAACTATAAAGGAAAAAGTACTTTTCTTAAATTTTATTATTATTACTTTTCATTTTGATGCTCTTTTGCTGTGAAGGAAATTTTTTTGCGTAGTTTGTCTTATTGTTACTTTTCAGTTTAGTACTCTTTTGCTGTATGGTTTCATTTTAACCTTGATTGTTTTATGACATATATGGTTACAGGTGTCATGTCAGAATGCTTCTGTTCTTGCAAATGCATCCTTACCTAAGGCCAACAATGCATCTGCTGTGCAACCAACCGAGAGATGTGGTAAAAGGGACAGCTGCATTGGCTCCTGCAGTATAGAAGGTATTACACAGCATGAGTCTACTAGACAGTCAACCGAGAGTAGAGATCCTAAGTCGCTGAAGGTGCGGATTAAGGTTGGACCCGAGATTGTCTCGACTAGAAATAAGCCTGAAATTTACAGTAAATTGGGACTTGATGTTTCTCCATCTCCGTCCCCCGAAGATAGTCCAGTTGGAATTAGGGAGCTTTCTCCTGAATTACCTGTTACGCTTTGTGAATCTCCATCCACAGTTCTTCAGGTTAATTGAATTTTAATGAATTATTTGAATTATTTGTTGAATAGCAGGCATTGGCAAATTTCTCTAACCAGATTACTTTATTGTTTCTTAAATTTAACGGAGCAGATCATGACATGCTTTCCAGTTCCAGGCAATTATTTTCTTTCACCTCTTTCTGCTACTCCACTCCATTTAATTGAGAGAGAAGACACTTCTAGTAAAAACTTCAAGAGAAGCATGACACATAAAGTTTTGCCAGAAAATTTTATTGCTTCATCCAATACAACTTTGGCTTCAAAAGGTGTTAGAGATCTAACAAACAAGGAAAAAAAATCCAGAGAGAAGGGTCAAAAGTTAGTACAAGCTCATGGGCTTACTTGCGAGGATGTAATAACTATGTACTTGAAGAATGAAATTGGAAGCAAAACGCCAGCAGCCCAAAACGTTGCTTTGAGTGCCCAAGATATGTCATTGCCATCCAATGTTCAGTCTGTAGATGTAAAAGAGGAGACATACCTCGGTGGTAATTCCACAAAAGAATGTAGTAAGGTGTTTGATATTCATAATGAGCAAAATAACATAGCGATGATGGAAGGAGTTCATGCACTTGATTTAAGAAAGGATAACCACTTAGAGCTCAATAATAGCATGGGAATGGATTATTCAGACAAGGAAATCATTCCCTCAAAGGGAAATGCATATTCAAACACACATTTTACTGATAAAGTTTTTGAAGAAAAAAATTATAAATTTGACATATGCAGAAAAAGCAAGAGTAAGTCCCAGAAAAATCCTGATAAAAAGAGAGGGGATTCTGATAAATATAGGATGAGGAAGGATTGTAGTGTTTTTTGTGAGGAACATGTAAGAGTGCAAGCTCATCAGAAAACTTGTTCGAAAGAAAAAAATGTTTTCAAGATGGTGCAAGCCAAAGATCAAACATTTGAGGATGAAAAAAATATTAAGCAAAGTCAAAATTTTGGCACACTATTTGGTGTGCCAAACAAAGAAAAAGAGAGCACTGTACTTCCTGTGGAACCTAAAGGAATAAAGAAGACATCTCATCTGAAAGGTGCACATTTAGAAACCAAGTCTAAAATATCTAAGTCACAGAAGAAATTGAATAAAGGTCGCAATACTGAATCTCAAAGTGAGCTTTTTATGAGTGCTCACGCCCAACAAGTTGAGAACGTGAGACATGTTTTAGGTTCCTCAAGATCTGCTGAAAAATCAAGGGAAAAATCAGAAGTTAGCAAGGTTGAAAGTCTTCTTAATACTGGACCCACCAATGATGTACCAGCACCCATGAATGATGCTGTCCCAAACAACAATTCAGTTTCTGCGATCAATGCTTTAGTTTTTATAGAGGATAATTGGGTATGTTGTGACATATGCCAACAATGGCGCCTTTTACCATATGGAATCAATCCCGAAAGCCTTCCAAAGAAATGGCAATGCAGCATGCAATTTTGGCTGTAAGTTTCTTTTCGTGTGATCTTTAAACATAACCCCATCTCCTTTTTCTTAGAGTTTTCATCATATTTTGGAAAGAACGAACTCTCAAAGTAAAACCGCAATTAAGTTGAAATGCGCAGGCAGCTGATATGATATTTTATCTTCGTGAAAATTTCTTTAGTTATGGAATATCTAACTTATAATGTCACTTGAAAAAAGTTTGTTAACAATGTGAACATAAAATATTTTGTCCAAATATGGTAATTTGGAAATTTATGTATATTTGCCTCGATACAAATGAATTACTTGACTGCTTAAAATATTTGAATTAAATTGATTAATGAACTTATTTCAAACTAAATTTATTTATATTTTGTTGAACTGTCTTATTTTGATCATTGTATCTCATATTTCTGATGTGAAACATATGCTAGATTCAAGAATTGCTTAGGAATAATAATGAATTGACAAGCTTAGCAATTATAATATAATGGAGATCAAGGGCTGATTTAAGTGACTTTTCAATTATTGATAAAGTAATAGCAAACAATTACAAATATTGATAGGAAACAATAAAATAATAACCAAAACAATAGGTACTTATCCACGAGTCACACAAATCCTACGATTAACAACTAGAACAGTTGTAATGGTCGGTTTAGCTGGGCCGGTTCAATTGAACTGGCCAGCTTCTCTTAAAAATTGATTTAGGGGAACGAAGCAGGCAGACAAACCGCGATAGAGGCGAGTCAATCGCGAGCACGGGAGGGTCGGTTTGCGATTCTGAAGAAAGGATCGCGTTCGTAGGAATAAATTAACGACTGCTCTCATAAGATATAGTTGGTTCACTCTTTCCGGTAAGAGAAATCTTGAGAAGGAAAGTTTCTGTTAAAGGAGCGGACGGTCGGCTATATGCGGGAGAGCGAGGTAAGTTCATTTTTTTTTCCAATTTTAGCGATCGATCACGTTAAAGGATAAGAATAATCAACTCCTTTTCATTCCCACAGTTAAAGGAGAGACAAATTTGGGAGAAGTTTCATCGAGCGAGAGGAACAACGAGGAAAAGAGGGAAAAGATTTGTTTTGCAAATTTTTGTATAAATTGATTCCTAATTATTTCTCTAATCATTAGAAACATTAAATTGAAGATAAAAGAAGGAATCGAAGGCAAGGGGAAGGAATTTGATAGGAATTACTTAGTTCACAAGTAATTCTAATCCAAACCAATAAATTTACAGCAGCAAACTGCTGTCCACAGCAGAGAAAACAGCAGGAAAACAGGGAAATCTGAGAGAAAATGCAAGAAACGACTTGTATTTCACTAGCAATGAAAGCAAAACAAAGAAAGATACAACGTTCTTCGATTCGAGAGGAAGAACAACTCTCCACAAGTCTCTAGCAAACCCTAGAGCCCAAGAACACCAAGAGATCTCAAACTTCTCCTTTAAATTCAAGATGATCCTAATTTCCCTCCCAATCTCCTAATTAAACATAAATAATCATAAAGGACAATAATGGATTTCCTAAAACAGCCCCCTCATTCAAATTTCTCCCTCCCAAATCAAAATTAATCCCACGTGGTGTCCACAGGAAGCTCCGCCTCTTGCTGCCGTTTCCGCCCAGCCGTCTCGCGTAGCAGTGTGATCGGTCTCTGTTGGACTGTCCAATCGGGCCATCCTGGGCCAGTCTACATTTACTCCCCTCCCAAAAACTTCAACATTGTCCTCAAGGTGAAAATTGGGGAATTGTTGCTTCACAATTTCATAAGGCTCCCAAGTAGCTTCGTAATCGGGAAGATTCTTTCCATTTAACTATACACCTCCTTGTTTCCTTTTTTTTATCAATCCTCACTCCTTGCAACTCCATAGGTTCCATGATCACCTCTAACTCCTCGTCAAAGATGCTGGTTAGCTTCGCACTAGCTACCTGTTCCCATAATGCGCTCCTCAGCTGTGACACTGGAACACTGGGTGTATGGTAGCAGAAGAGGACAACTTCAGACGATACGCCACTGCTCCGATCTTGTCCAACACTTCGTAGGGCCAAAATATCTTTGCGCCAATTTCTCATTCCTTTCCTTCGCTACTTCCTTTTGCCTGTAGGTCACTAGTTTTTAGGAATACCGTCTCTCCACTTCAAACTGCATGTTCTCTCTGTGTGAATCTGCCTTTCTCATGATCTGTTCAGCACTCATCAGATCTTCTTTAATTCTATCTCAGCCACCTTTCCCTTTCCCCATTAGCTGCTCAACTGTCGAGCCCGGTGTACTTCCTTTCCCGATGTGCACTAAGTGTCGGGATCCCTCCATACAGGCACTCTATGCCATGGGGTCATCTGAGAGGCAGATGGTACGATGTTTAATTGTACCAATATTCTGCCAAGGTAGCCACTTGCCCACATCCGCCGGTGTACTCTGAAACAAACCCTCAACGTAAGCTTTCCAAATTCGTCACCACTCCGTTGCCCATTCGCTCTGTGGATGGTAGGCGGTGCTTCTTCTTGAGGACCGCTGTCTTGCATCCTGAACAGACTCTTCAAGAATTGGGTTGTAGGAACTACTTTGTCTCTGATTAGACACAATAAGATTCGGAATTCCCTATGCAGCCTGACCCAACCTCCCTGATAAATGCCGCAGCCACGACACCGCGTGTAAGGATGTCGTTTAGAGGAATGAAGGTGCATACTTGCCTGAGCCTGTCCACCACCACCAGTATGACCGTGAATCCTTCGACCTTGGTAAGCATCAATTGAAATCCTGGACACTTCCTCCAAACTCTGTTTGGAAGTGCCAATGGTTGTAGTAACCTCCTGGAGCTATTGACCATAGTATTTGTCTTCCTTGACAGAACTCACAACTGCGCCATCATCTCTCCACGATCTATAAAGCATTCCTTTCCAGTAGAGTTTCGTTGCCAGCCTCCTATATGTCTTCTGAAGCTCTGAGTGCCTCCGATCCTGAGCTTCCATGAAATTTCCTGCAACAGATTGGGGAATGTGTATGGAATTCGTGGAATCACGAACTCCCTTGATACAATATCTCCCCCATCAATGTAGTAACCAGGCATGACTGCTTCTGTCCTTCTTCCAGATCCTCCTGATCTTCCTCAGTCTTCTCCGCTCAGACATACTTTCTCTTTAAGGCCCCCAGTCTACTATCGAATGGTGCTGACACAAACCAACTCCCTGAACTCCCCAACGCATTTGGATAAAAGCACTGCTCCGCCTTATCTCCAAACAGGCCTTATTGGATCTCAAAAATGCATAGCCTAATAGTTTGGATAACCAGCCTCTGGTGCTCTTCCGTGTTACCATCCTCTGCTCTAACAAATACTTCAAGCTCTCTCTGATCAGTCGTACAATGAATGTCTTCCAAGAGATACAGCCGCCATTTTTGGATTCGCAAAACAATGCCATCAACTTCTTCCATACTGACTTCAATCTTAGCGTCTGGCTGAAGCACTTGTGAAGGTATTGCTACTGGCCTGTGATTCTGCAGTCAGCACGCCCCTAGCCTTGATATCCTGAGGCATCTGTCTCTAATTACAAAAAGCCTGATCAAAGCTGGAAGAGCTAGAACAGGACCGTCTCATGGCTTCCTTCACATCTCTCGAAAGCTTAAGGGTGGCTTGCCTCTCCTAGGAAAAATTCGTATCCTTCTTCAGCTGCTCAGCTCAAGTTGCAGGCAAATGGTCTGTACCCCTTCACGAACTTCCTATAATATCCAGTCAATCCTAGAACACCCTCATTCCCTGGGTTCCTAGGCAGGGGCATTTCTGCATGGCCTCAATTTTAGTTTGATCCGCTGCCACCCTTGAGATCACCACATGTCCTCAAGTATTCTCACACTTGCCTGAGGCAAAGCTGCACTCTTTAGATTGGCTTTCAACGTGGTGCCTGAAGCACATCTCCAAATACCACTCTCAAATGCACCCAATGCTCCTCCACAGTCTTGCTGTTACACAGGATATCATCGAAAAAGACATAGGAGAAACTTCCTAAGGAGCTCTGCTTGGAATACCGAATTCATCAAGGATTGAATTGTTGTCAGAGCGTTAGTCAATCCAAAGGGCATTACCGGAGAAATCTCATAAGTGGCCCTTCATGAGTCCTAACGCTGTCTTTGGAACATCAGCCTCCTTCATGCCTGATCTGGTGGTACAGATTTTAGATCTAGCTTAGAGAACATCACTGCACCACTGTAGCTGCGTCTTAATAGCTGCATCAATCACAGGAATTGGGATTTGTCTAGTACAGTGCCTTTATCAGAGCCTGAAATCCACACAAAATTCTTCAACTCCCATCCTTCCTCTTGACTAGGATGAACTGGACTTGAAAAAGGCTGTTGCTGGGTCTGATAAGTCTCTGCTCCAGCATTTCCTGGTTCAATCTTGTCAATCTCATCTTTCTGAATCTGGGGATAGCGAAGGCGGACGTGATCGGAGTCTCACTTCTTCAGAGTAATTTGGCATGCTCCAACTCCTCTGAGGAAGGTAACCCCTGGGGTGGTTGAAAGACTTCGCGAACTGGTTATGATGCGCTGTACCGCAGAGGAACATTGCCTTTCCTTCTCCAACTGACTCCTTCAGTCGGCTGTATACTCTCTAAGAAGCCTCCTTCCTCACGAATGGTTCCTAATGAGGGATTTGAGAGAAACCCCTGTCTTGGTCAGCCCGGAATCACCCTGAATCGTCCTCTTTCTGCCCTACCACCATCTCCATCCTTAGGGTTCCCCAATTGATTTTGGTTCTCTCCAGTGTCTGCAGCCATTTCATCCCAAGGATGACATCCGTACTCCCCAATTCCAAGGGAAAGGAGCTCTCTACCTGGATCCCTTGAATCTTCAATACTACTCCTCGGCAGACACCGCGACCCATCTCCACCTTTCCGGTGCCCATCATTACCCCGTAACCTCCGGTATCCACTAGCTCCATCCCCATCGCATCGACAATCTGGGTGGAAATGAAATTGTGTGTCGCTCCACTGTCTATCAACACCACAACCTCGCGACCAGAGATCTCTCCTTTCACCTTCATAGTGTGACTCGAAGTGAGCCCCACTACTGAGTTCAGAGAGACTTCTGTTACATCCAGATGCAACTTCTCATCCTCCTCCACCTCGGGGTCATTTCCACCTCTCTTCGTCTTCCTCATCTTCACAAACGAGGAGAACCTGAAGAGATCGGTCATTGCACCTGTGCCCAGGCATGTACTTTTCATCGCATCTGTAGCACAACCCCTTTGCTCTCTTGTCCTGCATTTCTTTTTCGGTCAGCCTTTTGAACTGTCCCCCATTTCCTCCTCCAGTCTTTTCCTTGGGTGCTTCCTTCTGACCGCCTGGCGCTACCCCTTTGGAGGGTAATACCGCAGTAGTCATCTTGTATGATCCCCCTGAGTAGTTGCCTCGAGCTCCTCTTTCTGATCTCTTCTGATCTTCCACCAATTGTGCAAGTTCCATAGCCTTGCCTAAATTCCTTGGCTCGAACACTCTGACAGCTGTTCGTATCTCTAGTTTGAGCCCCTTCATGAAATTTCCCTCTAGGGCTGATTCTGAGATGTGATCCAAACGGCTAGCCAAATACTCGAATATGTCCCGATAGTCAGCCACAGTCCCCTCCCGAGTCAGAGCAAAGAATTGCTCATAGAAGTCTCCTCCACCATCGGCTCGGAAACGCTCTAATAAACAATCCTTGAACTCTCTCCAATTCCTGATAGGCTCTCTCCTGTCTCGCCACTGATACCAGGCCAACGCCTTTCCCTCCAGACACAATCCTGCTGCCGTCAGCTTCTCATCGTCTGTCAATCTGTTGACAACAAAGTAACGCTCCACCTTGTATATCCAGCCGTGGCCATCTTCCCCCTCAAAGATGGGCATCTTCAACTTCCTCACCTTCGGATCCCTTCCGTTACCCCGGTACTCTCCATAACCTCCCATTCCTCGGAGATGAGGTGCTCCCCAAGTGTCCCGGTCCTCCCTCCGACATTGGTATCCGAATCCGTCATCATATTCTCCTCTTCCCCTTTCAAAATCAGCACCTCGACGCTGATATTCTTCTCTTCTTTCGCCAAAATTTGTACTTCCCTCATATTCCCCCCTCCTGCCTTCAAAATCAGCACCTCGACGCTGAAAATCAGCACCTCAACGTTGAAAATCAGCACCTCGACGATCATTTCCCATGCTCATCTCCTCTCTAGAAAGTGGCTCTAGAGGTGGCATGTCGTCCTCTCCCTCAAGGATCTCTACTGCCGGATTCCTCCTCCCCCGAAGCGGGTTCGGATTTCCTCCCACGCCAAGGTCACCGACAGTCTCTCTTGCTTTCGACGCCGTCGGATTCGTCTTCATCTCCAGTAATTTCTTCATCATCTCTTCCATCGCCGCGAACCTCCCTTCCAACCTGTCATTGTTGGTGGAGATTTCCAAGAACTTTCCCTCCAGTTCTGTCTTTAGTTGTTCGAACTCGCCTTCCAATACTTTCACCTTCTTTCCGGCCATCTTATCTTCCGCGAGAAACCGGAAATCTCCCTTTGAATCCCTCCAAAAATCCGTTGAAATTCCTGATTTTCAGCCGCCACAAGTCCCACGACGATGCTCTGATACCAATTTGATAGGAATTTCTTAGTTCACAAGTAATTCTAATCCAAACCAATAAATTTACACCAGCAAACTACTGTCCACAGTAGAGAAAACAGCAGGAAAACAGGGAAATCTGAGAGAAAACGCATGAAACGACTTGTATTTCACTAGCAATGAAAGCAAAACAAAGAAAGATACAACGTTCTTCAATTCGAGAGAAAGAACAACTCTCCACAAGTCTCTAGCAAACCCTAGAGCCCAAGAACACCAAGAGATCTCAAACTTCTCCTTCAAATTCAAGATGATCCTAATTTCCCCCCCAATCTCCTAATTAAACAAAAATAATCATAAATGACAATAATGGATTTCCTAAAACAGCCCCCTCATTCAAATTTCTCCCTCCCAAATCAAAATTAATCCCACGTGGTGTCCACAGGAAGCTCCGCCTCTTGCTGTCGTTTTCGCCCAGCCCGTCTTGCGTAGCAGTGGACCGGTCTCTGTTGGACCGGTCCAACCGGCCCATCCTGGGCCGGTCTAACAGAATTTTGGGAGAGAAGGATTTAGGGATTTTGAGTAAATCCTCATTTTTCCTTTTGTAAGTGACTCTTCTAGCATACAAATTTAATTCAACTTTGTTATGAGAGCATGCTTTTATAGAAGTTATATTTTGTGGATGTTGTAGGAACTCGAAGTTGGGGTTGCTCCAAGGATCGAAAATTTGGAAGTATTAAAGCGGGTAATTTATATGCATAAATTTTCATTATTTTATTTTCATTGCAAATCTGGAAGTAATAGTACATGTAACTAATTAATTCTTATAGAGAATTTTAAATGCGTTGATTGAAAACGATTGAAGCTTTAAGAATAAGAAAGTGTCAATTTGTGAAAGAAAACAAATGGAAAGAAATTAGAAGATGAAAAGCATAGATAAAATATGGATAAACCATAGATATATATGTATATATATGATACATGTATACAATTATAAGAATATAAAATGATAACATAATGAATGAATCAAAGGAAAAGGGAAAATGTTATGCATACAGAGTATACAGGAGTTCACCTTCGTATGGTATTGGCTGGGGAAGCAATGTATCGGTGCACGTTAAAAGGGAAAAGGTAATGGAAAGAAAAAAGGAAATGAAAATGATTGTACCTTTGAGTACATTTAGACGGTGTTCCTGTAGAAATTAAAAAGGAAAAGGAAAAGGAATATAGATTAAAGGAATTTTATAAATAAATATGATGGATTATTTTTATAATGAGATTTGTATAATAAGATATGTTTAAATGAAACAAATAGAAGGAAATGAATAAAGTAAAGCAACAGTACAACAATGTAAAGGTAAATTTTATTGTATTTTAGTAAATTTTATGTATATTAATTGATGATGAGAATTACCCACTGAGTTTACTTAGTAAACTCAACCCACGAGTTTAATGTTTCAGGTAAGTCTCCTAAGAAAAAGAAATGACTGAAAGAGAAAAATTTGTCTACAGAAAGCGGCGTGCAAATGACAACAGGTAATTTATGATTTGTGTGTTAGTGACTCTTCAGTTAATAGAAAAGTTTATCTTGATGAGTTATTATTATATTGATGGAAATCTAATATCGTTCGACTTTTTCGTACCCGTCTCATTAGATCGAGCATCCGGGCCGGGTTGTGATAAAAGTGGTATCAGGGCAAGGTTAAAATATGAATCATACTGAAAGAGCCATTATGATGATTATTAATAATTTTAATGTTAAATAATTATGTTATGGCCAACAGGAACCAAAATGAGTATAAAGAAGAGGAAGAAGTAGAAAGAACAACACCTAATGTTCCTGTTAACCCTGATGCATTGGCTCAAATGATGACAGCTGTGACTCATCTGATTCAAGATTCAAGAAATCAATCATCGGGGAGTAGTAGTGGTGGTGGATTGGTTATGGATAAGTATATGAAATTGTTTCAGGATATGAGACCACCATTATTCAAGGGAGTAGAGAGACCAATAGAGGCTGAAAATTGATTGCTGAGGATTGAAAATATATTAGAAGGAATGCACTGTTCAGAAGAGAGGAAAGTTTCCTTGGTAACCTTTACACTAGAAGGAGAAGCTGAAAGGTGATGGAGAGGGCTGTATCAAGATAAGTTTGAAGGAATACCTGACATGCAAATTAAGTGGAATGATTTTACTCAGGTGTTCAGGGATTGGTTCGTACCTCCTTCTGTGAGGAGGCAGATGCAGGACAAGTTTATGAGATTGATACAAGGGCAGTATGAAGTTGAATTTACTACATTAGTCAGATATGCTCCTCAATTAGTACATACTATGGAAGATAAATGCCATCAATTTTTAGCTAGATTGAAGGATGCAATTAGACAGCCTCTTGTTTCATTAGGGATTGAAAATTATTCAGTATTATTTGAAAGGGATAGAAAGATAGAAGTGGATCTGCAGAATACTCAAAGGAGACTGATTTTCAGAAAAGGAAAAGTGGTGAAATTATGGAAGCCCCCCAGGATTCGCATAGCAAGTCTATTTCACAATGTGGAAAATTTAATTGGAAAAGACAAAGTCCAGCAGCAGTGACAGTTTAAGTGTGAATAGTTGCAGCAAGTGTGGAAGACAGCATAAATGTGAATGTTTATTTGGTACAATACTTGCTTCTGGTGTCATTAACCGGGTAATATAGCTAAGAACTGTCCTACTTTAGGGCAAAGACCAGCAGGAGAGTCAAAGGTAAATATCGAATCTTAGAGGAATGTTGGAAGACCAAGAATAATAGAATCAACTGCTTCTACTCCAGGATCAAGTCAAAACCGACATAATACGCTGCCTATAGTATATGCGCTGACTCAAAAATCAGAATGATGCCAAGGATTCACCTGAAGTGATTACAAGTGATAATAATGAAAAATGAATAAATTTGTATTATGAAAACATTATTAAAGGAATAATGTATGTTTATGTTTCTTTATGTATGCAATTTTTATAGGTATGATAATGGTGCAAGGAAAGCCTGTACGGATTCTTTTTGATACAGGAGGAGCTTCACATTCTTTTATTTCAGAAGAATTTGTTAAAACAGTTGGACTGAATGTTTATGAGACAAGTGTTATTTTGGAAGTTCTAATAGTTGCAGCAAGTGTGGAAGACAGCATAAATGTGAATGTTTATCTGGTACAATACTTGCTTTTGGTGTCATTAACCGGGTTATATAGCTAAGAACTATCCTACTTTAGGTCAAAGACCAGCAGGAGAGTCAAAGGTAAATATCGAATCTCAGAGGAATGTTGGAAGACCAAGAACAATAGAATCAACTGCTTTTACTCCAGGATCAAGTCAAAACCAAAAGAATACGCTGCCTATATTATATGCGCTGACTCAGAAATCAGAATGATGCTAAGGATTCACCTGAAGTGATTATAATGAATAATGAAAAATGAATAAATTGTATTATGAAAACATTATTAAAGGAATAATGTGTGTTTATGTTTTTTTATGTATGTAATTTTTATAGGTATGATAATGGTGCATGAAAGCATGTACGGATTCTTTTTGATACGGGAGCTTCACTTTCCTTTATTTCAGAAGAATTTGTTAAAACAGTTGGACTGAATGTTTATGAGACAAGTGTTATTTTGGAAGTTCTAATGCCAAATGGATCAATTATGAATGTAAAAGGTGTATGTGAAGTGACTTTCAAAATAAATGAAAGAGAGTTTGAAGACACAATGAATGTTTTACCATTGCAAGAATTTGATATGATATTGGGAGTGGATTGGTTATCAAGGCACTTTGTGATTATTTACTGGAACAAGAAAATTATAAAGTTTAATTTTCCTGGAGAAAGAGAGTTGAAATTCTATGGAGAGAAGAGTTTCTTCAATGATAATCATCTATATGAAAGCATACAAATTTGTATTCAAGGGATGTCAGTGTTTTCTTGCTCAAGTAAATGATACAAATAAGGAAGTTAAAGAGTTGAAAGATATATCTGTAATCAAATAGTATCCAGAGGTGTTTTTGGATGATCTGCTAGGATTACCACCAAAAAGAGATATAGACTTTACTATTGAATTGATGCCGGGTTTAGAACCAGTGGCAAGGGCACCTTACAGGATGGAAGTCAAAGTGTTACAGGAGCTGAAAAGTCAGTTACAAGAATTGCTAGATAAGGGGTTTATCAGGCCAAGTTCCTCACCATGGGGAGCTCTAGTATTGTTTATAAAGAAGAAAGATGGGAGCTTCAAAATGTGCATAGATTATAGAGAACTGAATAAGCTTACTGTTAAGAATAAATATTCATTGCCCATGATTGATGATCTTTTTGATCAACTGGAAGGAGCTTCAGTTTTCTCTAAAATTAATTTGAGATCTGGATACCATCAGCTACGAATTAAGGAAGAAGATATAGCAAAGACAGCTTTTAGAACCAGATATGACCACTCCAAGTTTGTGGTAATGCCATTTGGAGTGACAAGTGCATCTGCTGTATTTATGAATTTGATGAACAGAATTCTTAAGCCATTTATGGACATATTTGTGATTGTGTTTATCGATGACATTTTGATTTATTCAAGAAATTAAGAGAGCCATTCAAGTCATTTACGAGCAGTGTTGCAGACATTAAAGGAGAATAAGTTGTATGCAAAATTTTCAAAGTGTGAATTTTGGCTGAGCATTGTAACATTTCTTGGACATATGATTAATGGTGAAGGTATTTCAATTGATCAGAATAAAATTCAAGCCATATCAGATTAGTCAAGAACAACAACAGTTTCTGAGGTGAGAAGTTTTCTGGGTCTTGCGGGTTATTACAGGAGGTTCGTAGAGGGATTCTCTCAAATTGCAACGCCATTATCCAGATTAACTCAAAAGGCAATAAAGTTTGAATGGAGTGACCAGTGTGAAGGAGTTTTTCAAAAATTAAAGAATTGCTTAATGACTGCCCCGATTTTGACAATTTCAACAGACTCAGAAGGATTCCAAATTTTATGTGATGCTTCCTTAAGGGGAATTGGATGTGTATTGATGCAGCATGGTCGAGTGGTGGCCTATTCTTCAAACAGTTGAAAATTCATGAAAGGAACTACCTCACTCATGATTTAGAACTGACAGCTGTAGTTTTTGCACTCAAAATATGGAGACATTACCTATATGGGGTCAGATGCGAAGTGTTTATATATCGTAAGAGTCTCAAATACATTTTCAATCAAAAAGAGCTTAATTTGAGACAGAGAAGGTGGTTAGAGCTTATTAAGGATTATGACTTAGACATACAGCATCATCCTAGAATGGCAAATATGGTTGCAGATGCACTTAGTAGAAAAGCTCTTGAATATGCAAATTGGCTAATCACCTAACAGGAACAGATAATCATAAAAATGAAAAAGTTAGAGATTTCAGTGGTCAATCAGAAAGAGACTAAAGATATGTTCTTAAATTAACTAGTGATCCAATCTACTTTGAAAGATATAGTGCTCAATGCTTTGCCTCAAGATGAAAAATTTCAGACCATCATAAAGAAAGTGCAAGCATGATAATTAGAAAATTTTGTTATGGATGTAGAAGGATTATTAAAGTATAAAGGCAAGATCTGTATTCCAAATATTGGAAGCTTAAGAGAAGAGATATTGCAGGAAGCTCATCTCTCAACATATGAAATTCATCCGGGAAGTACAAAGATGTATCAAGAACTTAGAGGGTTGTTTTGGTGGCCAGGATTAAAGAGGAGTGTTGCAGAATTTATAGCAAAATGTATTCCCTGTTAGATGATTAAAGCAGAACATCAAAAGACAAGTGGTCAACTACAACCTTTACTTATACCTGAGTGGAAATGGGAAGACATTGCAATGGATTTTGTGATTGGATTACCCAGGTCAAGACAGAGTCAAGATGTAATATGGGTGGTTATTGACATATTAACTAAGTTAGCTCATTTCGTACCAATCCGACAGACAGATTCAGTGGAAAAGCTTGCAAAACCATATGTTGAAGAAATTGTAAGATTGCATGGAATTCCAAAATCTATAGTTTCAGGCAGAGATGCCAGTTTCACTTCTAAATTGTTGATGTAGACAAGGGATTTAGGGAACCCTATATTTCTTGAACACAAAAGACACACAAGAAGAAAACTGACACAATGAGTAGAACTTAAAACAAACTTTGTTAAATAAACTCAAACGACCCAAAACTTGACAAACACAACAAAAGATGCTTGGAGATTTTAAAGAAATAAAGAAACTTAAAAAGACGCTATCCTCAGACAACCGTCAGAGCGGGTTCCTCACATGCATCGAATTTGTAGGTTAAATAAGTAAAGTACATAGAACTAGCAAACCGATGGTCCACCACTGCAAGATTGGCCAATTTCTTCAACAGATGCTTCAAATCAACTCTGATACGACACCCTAAAGTTGCTTTACTTTGAGAAGAAGGATACAGATGGAGTGGCACTTGCGGAGAGACGAAAGAGGTTAGAAGCCTGAGAAGAAAGGGTGGAAAGAGCCCGCAGGATTTCCGGAGGGGATGAGAAACGAAGGTTGGAAAGAGCCCGCAGGATTTCCGAATAAACCCGCAGGTTAATAGCAAATATGTTCACAAATATCAACTCAACTCCCTTTCTTCATAACATCTTCTCATTTTTATAGGCAAAGAAAAGGAATGCCAAAAGCCACCTTAATGAATTCACACTTCATCCCAAGCATTATGTTCCATAGGATTTCCAAAAGCCATTTTGAAAACAGCCCAAGCCATTTCGGAAAAACAACCCAGCATAAATTCTTTTTCGGAAATCATAGGAAACTCACGGCACCAAAGAGCCAAATTCTCGGAAAGCAAACAGCCCGCCCGAATCCAAAGCAGCAAAGCATCGGGAAAAACGGCACAGATCGGGAAAACAAGGCTGGCTGAATTCCCAAAGGAATAGCATTAAAAATAATAACTTCCCAATGAATTCAAAGCATAGAATTCAGCCCCCAATTGATACAAGCCACGGTTTTCCAAGAGACAAGAAGAAAGGGAAAGGGACAAGGCCACTCCAAAAGTAAGCTTCATAATGATGTACCTTTTTTGGATAATAATGAGCTACTAAACTTCAGCTCAAGCAACTTAGGGAACAAGCTCAATACCGAATGCTCCAAAACAGCCAACCCGTGAACCACCATCAGCCAGGGACCAATCGAGCCAGCAAACCAAAGGTCTACCAAGCCATATGCACTACCTACCATGATCATTGGATGCTTTCCCATCATTGGATAGCTAAAAAAGAAAAGAAAATAAAATAGAAAACAAAATATACTATTGTTCAAACAAAATAAAAAGTACATAAATCCTTGATAGCATCAATTGTGGAAGAAAATTCAGGAAGCTTTGGGCACACGACTGACTTTCAGTACAACATTTCATCCTCAGACAGATGGGCAATCAGAAAAAATAATTCAGACTTTGGAGGATTTAATGCGATTATGTGTTTTAGATTTTGGAGAAAATTGGGAGACTCATATAACATTGATTGAATTTGCTTACAACAATAGTTTTCAAGCTAGCATTGGAATGACACTATATATATGAGGCTCTTTATGGAAGAATATACAGAACACCCTTGTTTTGGGTAGAAATTGGTGAAAGAAATGTAATTGGAACTGAACTGGTAGATGAGGCTACTAGTAAAATAGATTGATTAGAGATAGACTAAAGGCAGTTCAAGATAGAAAACGAAAGTATTATGATTCAAAGCATCAACCAGTGAAATTTGAACTAGGAGAATTTATTTTCTTAAAAGTCAGCCCAATGAAAGGTATGAAAAGATTTTGAAAAACGGGAAAATTGAGCCCAAGATTCATAGGTCCATATGAAATCATTAAAAGGATTGGAAATATGGCATATAAATTGGATCTGCCAGGACACATGCAAGGAATTCATAATGTGTTTCACATATCAGTGCTTCGAAAGTATGTTTTAGATGATTTAAAGAGAATCCAGTCTAAATCAATTAACTTGCAACCTGATTTGAAATATGTTGAGGAACCTGAACGAATACTGATTATGATGTAAAACAATTGAGGAATAGAACAATTCCTTTTGTGAAGATTTTATGGAAGCATGGAATAAAAAAAGATGCCACCTTTGAGAAGGAAGCTGAGATAAGAAGTCAATATCATCATCTTTTTAACTAAGGTATGTTTCCTTATACTTGATTTTAATTTCAAGGATGAAATTTTATAAGAAGAGAAGTTTGTAATGGCCGGTTTAGCTGGGCCGGTTCAACTAAACCTGCCAGCTTCTCTAAAAACCTGATTCAGGGGAACGAAGCAGGCGGACAAACCGTGACAGAGGCGAGTCGATCGCCAGCACGGGCGAGCTTAGGAGGGTCGTTTTGCGATTCTGAACGAAGGATCACGTTCGTAGAAATAAATTAACGACTCCTCTCATAAGACATAGTTAGTTCGCTCTTTCCGGTAAGAGAAATCATGAGAAGGAAAATTTCTGTTAAAGGAGCAGACGGTCGGCTACGTGCGGGAGAGCGAGGTAAATTCGTTATTTTTCCAATTTTAGCTATCGATCACGTTAAAGGATGAAAATAATCAATTCCTTTTCATTCCCATAGTTAAAGGAGATACAAATTTGGGAGAAGTTTCATTGAGCGATAGGAACGACGAGGGAAAGAGGTAAAAGGTTTGTTTTGCAAGGTTTTGTATAAATTGATTCCTAATTATTTCTCTAATCATTAGAAACATTAAATTGAAGATAAAAGAAGTAATCGAAGGCAAGGGGAAGGAATTTTGGGAGAGAAGGATTTAGGCATTTTGAGAAAATCCTCATTTTTCTTTTGAAAGTGACTCTCCTAGTATACAAATTTAATTCAACTTTGTTATGAAAGCACGCTTTTATAGAAGTTATATTTTGTGGATGTTGTAGGAACTCGAAGTTGGGTTGCTCCAAGGATCGAGAATTTGGAAGGATTAAAGTGGGTAATTTATATGTGTAAATTTTCATTGCAAATCTGGAAGTAATAGTACATGTAACTAATTAATTCTTATGGAGAATTTTAAATGTGTTGATTGAAAATGATTGAAGCTTTAAGAATAAGAAAGTGTCAAGTTATGAAAGAAAACAAATGGAAAGAAATTGGAAATGAAAAGCATAGATAAAATATGGATAAACCATAGATATATATGTATATATATGATACATGTATATAATTATAAGAATATAAAATGATAACAAAATGAATGAATCAAAGGAAAAGGGAAAATGTTATGCATGCAAAATATACAGGAGTTTACCCCCTTATAGTACTGGCTGGGGAAGCAATATACACACGCACGTTTAAAGGGAAAAGGTAATGGAAAAGAAGAAAGGAAATGGAAATGGTTGTACCTTTGGGTACATTTAGATGGTGCTCCTGTACGAATTAAAAAAGGAAAACGAATAGGAATATAGATTAAAGGAATTTTATAAATGAATATGCTGGATTATTTTTATGATGAGATTTGTTTAATAAGATATGTTTAAATGAAACAAATAGAAGGAAATGAATAAAGTAAAGCAAAAGTACACTAATGTAAAGGTAAATTTTATTGTATTTTAGTAAATTTTATGCATATTAATTGATGATGAGAATTACCCACTGAGTTTACTTAGTATACTCACGAGTTTAATGTTTAAGGTAAATCTCCTAAGAAAAAGTAATGGCTGAAAGAAAAGAATTTGTCTACAGAAGGCGACGTGCAAATGATAGCAAGTAATTTATGATTTGTGTGTTAGTGACAATTAAAGTGGAGTTAATGGGAGATGGGAAAAGGTGGCAATTAAAGTGGAGTTAATGGGATAGGGTAAAAAGTGACAATTAAAGTGGAGTTAATGGGGAAGGGAAAAAGGTGGAAATTAAAGTGGAGCTAATAGGGAGAGGAACAGGAATAGGTAGCAGCCCTTGGGGAAATCAATAGAGAAGAGGAAAAGGTGGAGGGAATACCAAAAGGCAATGGAGTCGCGGTTGGTTGGCAATGCGAGGAGAGGAAGGGTGGGCTTGTAGGTGAGTGGGAATGGAAGAGAGGGAGGTTGCTCGGCTGTATGGGCAACAGGGTATTTCGGCTAGCTGTTGGGAAGAGGGTTAGAGGGCTTGACAGCCAATGGAGGAAGGTGGGGTGAGAAGGGAGAAAAGATAGATCCAAGAACCTTGTCGTGGCATCGGTTGTTGGGTGTTACGTTGCCCTACTCTTCACTCTTCTCTCAAGAAGACTCAAACACACACAATTCAAGAAAACTGAAGTTTAATTCATAATAATAATAATCATCATTATATAATGGCTTAAGGGTTCAATATATAGACTTCTAAACATGAAGACTCAAAATACAAAAATGCCTCTTGGGCTACAACATAAATAATCTAACATAAGGGTAAAATGGGAAAAATTTCAACATAACATGAAATAAGAAAATGAAATACATGAAAAAAATTATAAATAAAGGCTTCTATTCATAGCCGTTGATCTAGAACTCCTATTATAGACGTGCCAAGATTTCCTGCTGATGGCCTTATCATTTTCCATAGGTGAGAGAAAGCTCGACCTCGTCGAGTAATATCACGGGTGCTCTCGTACATCTCTAGAATGTCGGGATCCAAACTCTAAAGCTCATTACAGTCAATCCATGTGTTCTCCGTCTCCGATTTTTCTTTCCATTGAACTAAATGCCTTTGGCGCCCACCATCCTTAGTGGACATAACTTCATCATTAAGTATTGTTTAAACTTCTCTGCATTAGGTAAGGAAGAAATATTTGGGAGTTGAGGTAGGCTATGGTTCTCACCAGGTGGGATCACACAAGGCTCAATACGTAATGAGTTTGTGTGGTTAAACTCTGGTTCTTCAAAGGCTACTAGATCTTCAATGTTAAAAGTGTAAGATATCGTTTCCTGTCTGGACTGAAGGATATTATAAGGCAACCTCTCATACCTTTTGGGATTGAAGACTAATCCATTTTGGTGGAAATACCAAGAAGGATTAAGATGGACTTATAGGGGATTCAGAAGAGGATGGACTTCCAGAAAAGAAAGATTGAGGGCAGGCCAAAGTCCACTTAGCCTGCTTAGTCTTCTCAGTATGGAGTGTCTACTTGAAAGAAACCTAGACCCAGTAATTCTAACAGTAGTGCTTCAGATGCTACAGTATGCATTAAGTATGGAAGGATGTATAAGGGAGAGTGCCTCTCCAGCACTGACACTTGCTATTGGTGCCATCAGC